CTAATTCACAGACTTTTATCAGAATTTTTTTTTCATTTCTATGGGAAAAAATTTAATTTCCGTCGCATCATTCATTAAAATTGACTTCTGAATGTATTGTCATGCAACTAAGATTCGGATTTTTTCATGTTCATGAGACGCCATACTTATGCTTTTAAATACATTTAGATGCATGCATGATTTCATTGGAGCTTGCCTTTGAATAGATTTATTCACTTCTGATACTTATGATTGAAATTTTGCATGTATTGAATATTTTATTAATTATTTCAAATGTGTCAATTATGTGTATATGTTAACATAAATTCAAATGTCATATAAATCAAAATAACTTTGATTTATTAACTTAACTTAGCCTGTCTGCGATTGGACAACTTGTGATAATCATTTAACGTAATGATATCTAATGTAATATTGCCTACTGCTACATTATTTAATTAACTAGTAAAAGTATTAATTTTGTCTTGAAAATGATTACTTTATTATTCTACGTATTTTCAATTAAAATTTTACCTTGTAAAAATAATATCGCAAAAAAAGGTTCGTTTAGCATGTGCAATAGTTGTTGATACTAGTTTATATATCAGCATTATAAAATTTTTATTGCAATATAGGGTAACAGCATCAGTGAATGACCGAGTTATTGTTTTTTAAGTTTTGAAGAACAGCAAAAATTTAATGATTGCGACTTTAAAACAACTAAATATATCATCGCATTGTTAGTTAAGTGTTCAATCAATTAAAAATATTGAAAAATCATTTTAGCATCATTAATATTATTAAAAATTGTGATTTAACGTGTCACCTTGCAGAAAACATCTCCATTAAATGACCGTTCGACGTCCAGTAAATGACAGATACATTATCGTACGACGTTTTTACAAAATTAAACATTACCGTTCGTTTAGATAATCAATACTATTCGTAAATAATTGTTACTAGTTCAGTAGTGGTCGAATCAGTGTACTGATTGAATTGGTTTTATTTAAAAATCAATGAAAATAGATTAATAACTAATTTAACCTGTATACTATTGTATTCTCAAAGAATCGGTCACTTATTGATCGTATGCAAATCGACGCTTCATACCAGTGAATGACCACAAAAAATTTTCAATATTTTTTTTGCGTAGTTAATACAACTTATATGGGTCGAAAGTTGATTAAAATTATAGATATAACATCGCTCGTTAGTTATAGTTCGTTATTTATAACTTTTATATACTTGCAAGACTATTGTTTGATGTATAAACTCGTTTTACGTGACGGTGGGCAACTCTTACGATGATAATTACACCAAAAAATAATGGTTGTTTGCTGCTACATCACGTGTATTTACGTTTGCAAGATACTTATAGGGCGAGCCAAGGGTTAAACAATTGTTGACCCTCGACTCTATGCCGAGCAGCAGCAGCGATGTGACGAGAGTATGCAAGCGCGAAGAAAAAAAGAGGGGAAAAATGTTTGGGACTGCGATAGTTTTTTACTTAATTCGATCGCAAACATAAGAGTTTTTCGCTGAGGCGTGGGTGTACTAAAAGAGAATAAATTATACACAGATTTGAAACACGAGCAAAGTCCTTGAAGTATGGAAAAATTCGTGAAGTATGGATATTCCGATACTTTTTTATTTTCATAAAGTTACTTTGGTATTCCCGGAGACGAGGAGTCGTTTTTTCTTTTATTTTTCGTTAAATATGACTACTTAATATAGTTGTTAACGAGTAAGTGTAAACAAATTATTTAATTTATAATCTTGCATCATTTATATATAAATCTTATCTCTTATCTCTAAACATCGTCTATTCATCGTTTATCGTTTCATCGTTTATCTCAGAGGAAAACCATTGAAGCTATGTAGTAACGAAAAATGAGAAAAAGAAAGATAGCTGAATGTAAACAGAAGGTACTTTTGAATTTTAAGATAAAGCGAGCTCGAATTTTTACCTTAGGTGTGACTTTCTTTTTGTGTTTACGCAACTATGAATATGGCATGGGGCTCACTATCTCATTGATTTCACTTTTGAACGATGGGCCGGACGCAACACATGTACATAAAAGATCGAAGCAAGAAAGAAATAGAAGCTCGGAGCCTCAGTGTCGGTTCGGTGAGCTACGTGATGAGTCTGGCACGCAGTATAAAATATCTACAATGAGTGGAATTAAAATTTCAACCGTGGCTAAAAAATATATAACTAACACTAATGAATTAATAACAATAGTAATAGCGTTTATATTGCTTGTCGTGGGTTTAATTTTATTAATCTTAAATTGTACACAAATCGATGTGGACATATTTCCCAAAGACTCGAGTTCATTTCCATTACGGCTCAAACGTAAAGTTGGTGAAAATTCCATAGTGTTCAGTGCCTTGGAAAATACCACCGCCTATTTCGGCGAGTGTGACAAGAACATCAACCAGACGCAGAAAGAATGTTTACTTCGTCGTTTGGAGGCAGATTCTTCGGGGAACGACCCGATAGAGGACAAGTGCAACATCACGCTGAGCTCCAAGTCAGGTGGCTTCATCCAAACGCATCGGATTAAAATCCAACCTTTGGACAATAATCGAGCGATATTACGTTGGTTCGAGAGTAACGGGGCCGAGGATGACCCATATCACTTACGATTCAGCGTCATTGATTTTTTCAATTGTAGCTTCAAAACTTTTTCCCAAATTCACCAGATTATTCGATGATGAGTGCTCGTATCTTTATCATTTTTTTTTACGTTATGGGCACCAATTAAAAAATTATGATACGGTAAACTCATCTTAGTAATCTATCCACCGATAGCATCCAAATTTTTATGACAACTTTTACTTCATACTTGGTCTTAAATAAATTTTTTTCTTGTGTATGCGCTTTTGATGCAAATTTTCTAAAATTATGGTAATTCACTAACTTTCATGATAATTTTTTTCATTTCTGTGGAGAAATAATAGAATTTTCATCGCATCATCTTATTAGAATTTGTTTCTGAATGTATCGCTATGCAACTGCGTTATTTCATTGATTTCATCAATTAAAATGTTGTAATTATTGAATATTTTATTAATTATTTCACATGTATCAATTATATGTATATGATAACATAAACAATGTTACGATAGTGGCCGCAATGGTCACATACATCAAACTAACTTTGATTTATTAACTTAAGTTAACCTGTCTACGATCGGATAATTTGTGATAATCATCTAATGTAATAATATCTAATGTAATATTGCCTACTGCTACACTATTTAATAAACTAGTAAAAGTACTAATTTTGTCTTGTAAATGATTACTTTATCATTCTACGTATTTTCAATTTAAACTTTACCTGGTAAAAACAATATTGCAAAAAAATTTTCGCTCGGATGTATTACAAGGGGAGAAAAGCAGAATTATAAAATTTCATCTAAAAAAAAAATTTCACCCAAAAAAAACCTTCAAATATTCTTTCGAAAAGCCATTGCACAACAAACCCGACACATACTGTGATCTAAGTAGAAATTTCATTAACCTACACTCGAGCTATTGCGATATATCTTCTTAATTATGCTTGCTACTTTCTAAGTCTTGAAAGTTTTCAAAAAAAAAACAGAAAACTTTGGAGAAATCTATGGAGGTGGATGCTTGCATGAAATCGAAAAGTTATGGAGTCTCGGAGGAGGAACCTACGAAGGTGAGCAGAGATGAAAAACGAGAGGCTTGCACCAAACACGGGTAGTGACGAACGTCTGTGGATCGATCTATTTGCCAATTATCAGCGTGTAACATGTTTACACCTGTATGTGAAAATATTTATGGTCTACCTTCGAGCAAATCGCGGCTCAACTTAATTAATTGAAATTAATTTTTTTAATTCGAGTTTAATATTTTTAATCGTAGATGCCTGTATATATGCTCTGTGCAATTGGCATCATTACTACAAAAATCATAAATACCGCATTGAAGCGTTTTTACTTCGACCAAACTTGTATGTACGTTTGATGGATACTCGTTTCGCGATACTTGTTTTTTTGCGCCACGACTCAACTAGGAGCAGCTCATATTACAGTTTATACGCCGAGTAACAGTAGCGACGTGACAAGAGCATGCAAGAACGAAATAAAAAAGAGGGGAAAAATGTTTGGGACTGAGATTTTTTTTTTACTCAGCTCGAATGCAGACATGAGAGTTTTTCACTGAGGCGTGGGTGTACTAAATTATGCACAGATTTGAAACACGAGCAAAAGGCACATAAGTGCAGTACATGATCGAAGCAAACCCTTTAAATGTGACATTTGTCACAGGGCATTTGGACACAAACAGGTCCTCAAAACTCACGTAAATAGTGTACATAATCGGAGCAAACCCTTTAAATGTGAAATTTGTCAGAAATCATTTGGAGATAAGGGAACCCTCAAAAGACACATAAGTGCAGTACATTATCGTAAAAAACCCTTCGAATGTGACATTTGTCACAAGTCATTTGGATATAAATATCAACTCAAAAGACACATAGGTACAGTACATAATCATGACCAATTCTTTGATTGTAGTATTTTTCAAACCCTTTGAGTGTGATACTTTTCACAGGTCATTTGGCTACAGAAGTTATCTCAATTATCTTTTAACTGCTGTATGTAATCGTTGCAATGTGACATTTGTCACAAATAATTTTAAAACCAGAATATATAAGTATAGTACGTAATCGTAAAAAACCCTTCGAACGTGAAATTTGTTGCAAGTCATATGGGTAAATGAGTTCTTTTGAATCTCACATAAATTTAGTACATAATCTGCGAACCCGCTTCGAATGACCGATTAATCATTTTAAGTCATTTGGAAAATAATCTTCATGAAATTGTTCACAAATTCATTGATTGTAGCCAATAATTAATAATTTGGACAAAGTCTACCAGCCTTATATATCTTGTTTGTAGTTAGTTCAGTAAGTTGTCGATAGGGGAAATTATTGTGTGAGCACAAACAAAATCTATAGTTCATTTTTTATTGTGTGTGAATGATTTCTTTTTTCGATTTTTTTATATTTTAAAGACATTTATTTAGCGTTATAAACTTTTTATTACAATATACATTAATTTCCATCTAATTACTGCAATAATGTAAAACTTAAGAATTAATTATTTATGTACAGTTTTTACATTGATTTGTGACATCCGTCTATTCGACGCATATTAATATATATTGGATAATGTTACATCGAAAGAATGAAACTGTAAAGAATAGCACAAATCGGGTACTTAAAGTCCAATGCCTAAGTGTACATGTACATATATTCTTATATACATACATGTACATTCGTTTATGTTTAGTGAATATGTCCATCCATGATCTATAAAACAAATACATTTATATATAAGTACGTCAATTCACATAAACATACAACTTAATTCAAATGTTTAGACAGACTTTAAAAGTTAATTTGGTAATCTTAACAGTTTCTCCTATTTCAAGGGTTTTTTATCTGAATGAAAAATTATTGAATGCAAATATTTTGCAACTTATAAAACATTTTTTATAAAAAATAACATATAAAACTTTTTTGAGTCAGTGATCTCTACTTTTTCGTCTCGCGAGAAAAAAAATTATTTTTGTTCTCTTTATAATTATGCTGAATAAAAAGAACATCTTCTACCATTAACAATATAAGTTATTTAAATTTAACGTTAAATCTGCACTGGTGCGATCAATTTTCGCCATGATAAAAGTACCATAAGCAGTTAACGAACTCTTTCTAATAATTGACATGAATAAAATAAAATCTAGTTGTGATTCCAGTAGACCGTTGATACTAAGTATTCAGTTGCCAATGATGACTAGAAGTCATCAAAGTCGAGGGCAGGCCATCGATGATCCCAGGAATCCTTACTGTAAATCAAAAACGCGAAAATCGAGTTAGTTCAATGTCTCCGTGAGTCGCTGCTTACAAATACGATGAAACTTTATTTACCATTAGTATCATTGAGGACCGCCCATCATATTCATACCCGGAGGCATAGCCTGACGATAAGGTCCTTGGGGCGGCGGTGGTCCCTGAGCGCCACCTGCCCCTTGCATCATCTGCATGGCCGGTCCAGGGCCCATGGCCTGCGGAGGCGGCTGCGGACCGGGTATCGGTACAGGCGGCATCGGTCCACCGGCGATGGGATTCTGCGCTGTCATCTGTTGCTGCTGTTGCTGCTGCTGCTGTTGCTGCTGCTGCTGCTGCTGTTGCATGGCGGCGGCGTTGGCAGCCGCGGCCGCGGCGACCTCGGACGGCAGCGTGAAGTTCGTGAGGATGTGGCGCACGGCCGGGAAGGCCGAGCACTCCTGCTGGTTGGGATAGTGGTCGGCGAAGCGCTTGAGCAGCAGATTGATGGCGGCCATCGGCGAACCAGGTGGCGAGTCGCGATCCGCTATCTGCGTCAGGTTGGCGCGCGTGTCGTAGATGAGCGGCAGCACCAGCGAGGGCGGCTCGCCCTCGTAGATGCCGAGCCGCGTGATCTGCAGATAGAACAGCGTCTTGGTCTTGTTCACGATGACGGCCGTGCTGCCGACCGGTACGAGGGGAGGGGCCGAGGGCGGCACGCGCAGGCAGAACTGCGGCTGCCACTTGTACTGCTGCTGCTGGGCCAGCGCGGGCGGCGCCAGCTCGACCCGCATGATCTGTATGAAGTCCTTGAGCACGTTGATGGGCAGATTGAGGATGCACATGAAACCGTGCAGACTGTTGGGCCGGAAGGGCGGCGCCACGGCCCGATGCTCGAAGAAGCGCTCGATCACCTGCAGCTCCTCGTGGGACCAGCGGCTCACGTGCTCGGGCAGGGGCTGGCACTTGAGGTGCAGCGACTGCATGTGCTGGGGATTGGGCGAGACGCGGCACTGCAGCGTGTCGACCTTGAAGTGCGTCACGCCGGGCTCGCCGTTGAGTATGGTCAGGCTCTCGTTGGTCTGGATGCAGCGCTGCAGCTGGCGCCGCATGAACACGCAGCAGAGGAAGCGCTCGAGGGGCGCCAGATCGGGCCCGGGCAGGCCGTTGGGGTGGCGCGCCGGGCTGCACAGCAGCTCCAGCGTCTCGGCGGAGAGCAGACTCGGAATGGCACCGGCCCAGGAGCGCTGCGGCAAGACTCGGGACACGTGCTGGGTCTGTTGCATGGTCACGGGGCCCACCGAGAGCGGCTGCTGTGGACTGTGCATCGACACGAGACCGCCCGGACTCTGACCGGAGCGAGCGGGCGAGGGCCTGGAGATGCTCGGCGAATTGGCCCAGTTGGAGGCGACGGGCGAGGCCAGGCTCTGCTGGGCCGGGAACGGGCTGCCGTCGTGAGGCTGCATGCCGTAGCCCGAGGCTGGCGAGTGTCCGGTCATGGGGCCGCCACAGGGTCCCGGAGAGGAGGTCGGCAGCAGGCCGGCTGGACTCGGGGCGTGCATCTGGCCAAGGGGACTAGCCACGAGGCCCGAGCCCGGCGACGGATGCGGCAGCACGCTCGGCGTGCTCGGCGTCAGCGAGGGCGGCGACGAGACCATGTTGAGCGAGGCCGCCGGGCTGCTCGTGTAGCCGTGCTGCTGCTGCTGGCTGGTGTGCGGACTCGCCGGCGTCGTCGGATTGCTGTTCGAGGGCGGCGTCACCGGCGGATGAAAGCGATTCTGGGCGGGCGACTGGGGTCCGGCCCGATGATGGCCGGCCAGGAAGCTGCCGTAGCCACCGGCGCTGGGCGGGCCCGCCGAGCCGTTGTTCACGAGGCCCGAGCCCGAGGGATCGCCCTCGACGGTGGTGGGCGAGGGCGGATTGTCGTCCTCGGACTGCGAGCGGCCCCGGTACATGGCCGTCTTGTCGACGTACTGCGACAGGAAGGTGGTGAGGCCCTGGATCGGGGTGAAGCCGTCCACGACGCTGCTGTGATCGAAGCGGCTGTAGGCGCCGTCGCGCAGCGTCACGAAGCCGTCGCCGCGGAAGCAGAGCTCGAGGCAGTAGATGTTCTGGTAGGCGATGCGCACCAGACTGATGCACTGGGGCATGACGACGAACGTCTGCATGGGTATCTGCGGGCGCTTGTCGTTGATGCCGAGCTGCAGGGTCGTGGGTAGTCGGGCGATCGAGGTCAACGGGGCCAGGGTCTCGTTCAGTATGTGCATCAGCTGCATGAGATTGTGATCGCGATTGATGGTGGCCTGGAGCTGCTCGCGCAGCAGCATGTGCGCGTTGTCGAGCGGACTCGTCGCCGACTTGCCGAAGTAGAGCTTGAACTGCTTGCCAGGGACGTCCCAGAGAATCGTCACCTGGGCGCGACGATGCGGCCCGTAGCTGAGCACGAGCCTGTTGTAGCTGTACGACTTGACCGTGGCTATGTTGCGATAGTTGCTCTTCTCCATCCTGAAGTACTCGGCGAGATCGTGCACGAGCGAGTGCAGATTGACGATCTGCGTCCAGTCGTTGAGCAGCTTGTCCACGGTCTGCTGGATCGTCTCGGGCGTGCCCATCGGATACTGAAAGTAGACGGGCCTGCGCAGGCCCTGCTCGCGCGGATGCGCGCTCGACACGGGACTGCCGTAGAACACGAACTCGACCGTCCAGCTCTTGCCCGTGCCCTTGCTCTGCACCCGGATGCAGCAGCTCAGCAGTCGCTTCAGTAGGGCCGTCCAGGCGACCTGGCTCGAGATGCTGCCGCTCGGCTTGGGCAGCTGCACGAGCTTGAGGAACATGCCCGTGGCGTTGGCCTCGATCTGCAGGCCCTGATGGGCGATGTCGCGCCTCGACAGCTCCTGCGCCAGCTGCATGAACGGTATCTGCTCGTCGCAGAGGGCCACCACGTGCGCCAGCTCCGGTATGTAGTAGGCCGGTGCCTTGGCTTTCTTGGCTGCGCTGCTGTCGGCTCTGCCACCGACGCTCGCGCCGATGTTCTTGCGCTTCTTGGCTTGGCCCGCGGCGCCGGCCTTGTCCGCGGCTTGGTCGACGACGCCGCTCATCTCCGGCTCGTTGCTGCCGCAGTCGATGCTCGTGAAGGAGCCGTGCGTGACGACGAACGTGTCGAACTCTATCAGGCTCTCGAGCTTGTAGAAGATGTTGTGATTCTTCGCGTCCATGTTGTTGGCGTCGTCGCCTCCGGCGGCGTCCTGCTCGGACGAGGTGAGCTTCACCGAGCACAAGTAGAACGAGTACTGCAGCTCGCAGGGCGACGACTCGTTCTCCTTGATGCCCATTATCAGCACGACTTTTGGATGCTTGTGAAATTCGATGTACATCTTGTGCTTGCCGATCGCGTTTATAGGATGATCCGGACTGTGCAGCAGTGGTAATTTTGTGAGCGCCGTCGCGGGCAAGTGTTGCAGCGTTTTCGTGCACCTCTTCTGTACGATCCAAAATCGTAATTCTGCTATGAGTGCCGGTAACTTGGATCTGTCTTGATTCAGGGCATTGGTTAATTCTGGTACTATCGGTGCCTCGAATTGAGGTATGTGACATTGCAACATGCCTGTATGAGTGTCAACGGCTATTAGAAGTAACTCGGCTCTCAAGCAAGGTTGAATAATAGGTACGGATAAAATAGCAGGAGATCCAGCTAAGGTACACTCTATGCCTTTGAACATAATTTGCAGTTCCTGCCTGAGGTCGTTCAATCTGTTCCTTGTTCTGATATAGATTGTATGCACTAATAAGTATTCCATCGACAGTTGGTTCGATCTGATGGCCAAATCTGATACTTCGCATTCCTTACTAGCTAAGGACGGTGTGTGAACTACTGCTAAAGGTTTGGCTGGGTCTACTTGATCCACAAGTATGCTAAGCTTATATCCAAGTTCCGATCCAGAATCTTTGCTGGTCAGTTCTTTCCAATATGATATTGTTAAAAACTCTCCAGTTTTATACTTGTCGATTCTGATATGATCATCGAGGCGATCTCTAATAAGACGTAATGTTTGTGAATATAGAACCTCCAGTTGTAGTGATTGACAAAAATGATGTAAAATGCAGTATACTTCAGCTAGAGGATCAGAGCTTTCTGCTAGACGAGTTTGAACTACTTGATGAACATACTGAGTTTGCAAAGGATGCACTAATGATTTTCCTTCGCCAGTTTCTCGATCAGATACCAAGATTTCAAGATCTAGTAAACGCCATGGTAAGTTTGGTGCATCTCCCATCACAGTTAATGATACACAGAATTCTTGTTCAATTTTAAAAGTCACTCTTCCTGCATCAATTTCAAGATTTTTCATTTGGGGTAATAAATTTCCAGTGACTAATCTATGCTGTATCACTTGATTCAGTCTTTGCAAAGTACTCTTCTTCTCTGCTAAAGTAATAGGTTCTGGAGGAACAATTTTCTCTCTAATACATGTTGGTAATCGATTGTAAGATCCAGTGGTAAGAACTTCAACTGCAGCCGGTAAATGAAAGTTTGGCAATCTAGCATGGACCAATGTTTCGCGCGCCATTCTTGCTAGCATGTCAGCTGTATCGACAAATAATAACGACTGCTTATCTAAAAATGCCATGATGTGGTTTGACTTTTCAACCTTGGTTGCACTGTTAGCCCATTTTGTAAGCGCAAGTAATCTCACAAAAAGCTGCCTAGTACGAGCTGCAAAATTGAATATTTCTATTTTACGCTCCATGTCTGTTTTTCTTGGTAAGAGTTCGGCCAACACTGTTATTTCATGATAAGTCCTTTGAATAATGAAATCTATTAAAAGACCAAGTGAAATTGATCCTCCACGGTTACCCTCTTGTGGTATATTGGCCACAGGAGTTTGATTTCCTTCCAATGGTACTGGTGCCATTGTAGAGGCTATCTTCAAATCTGATTTTTCAAGTAACTCCGTATTGTAGCTGCAGTCTGTAAAAAAACATTAACATGTTAATAATACAGCGTAATCAATTTTACTAAAAATATTCCACAATTTTCAACTCATTTATATGTATTAAAATACATTATTTTGTTCATATTAAAAAGACAGGTAAAGAATATTTGTATTTTCAATACATAACCTAACATAGAAGGAAGGCTTTTTAGCAATTAAAAATAACTTGAATAAGCTACTCCTATGCATTTAGAATCAAAATTAATTGTAAGCAAATTATGATTATTTATATGCAAGATAAATTCATTTAATTGCAAAGATTTTGACGTGTATTAATGAAATTAAAACCATCATAAACACTGCAGGATAAGTCATGTTATGGTCAGTTACGTAGAAGTTCTTCCTATGAAACATCTTGAATCTAACTTGAAATCATATTCTTATGATAAATTACTGTAATTTATATTCATATTCATGTAAATTTTGGATTGTTTAATGAATCTTAGTCAAATGTGAAACTGATTTCAAACATTCAAAATGAGATACATGAAGTATTGTTGTTCTCGCTCATCAACAGGTTATATTTATTTCTACTATGCAGTCAGCTCAACAAAAACACGTGCGTGTGTGTATGTGTGTGAAAACGTACCTGACAAAAATTCAACGAGACAGAATAATAATGCCAAGTAGCATTATCGTAACTCCAGCTTCTAATCCAGCCGGCCCATAGCAGCGTCGAGGCAGCTTCCAACGATAAACAGTATCGATCGGCGCGATGAACAACACAGCATGGGTACACAGCAAGTCGACACACACGAGAAAATCCGCGAAACGCACTCTTTTTTTTATTCACTCGAAGAAGATGTGTTTACAAATTTTAATACACAGCCGCACACGTCGTCTCTCGTGCTGCACTTATGGCTTCCGAGAAGAGAGACGTCTGGCGCGTCATTAAGCGCATAGCACGCGTGGTGGCAGCAGCACAGCAACGTCGATGACTGCAGACTGCACAGTAAACGGTGGTGGTGGCGATGGTGGCAGCACTTGCTGGAGGACATTGATTGGCGGCTCGACTCGAAATAAATATTGAATTTTGCCCCTTAGCATCGAAGAGATTCAGAAGATTAGAGACATTTAAAAATGTTTAAATCTTTTTAAAGTTTGACAGAATAATAATGAAGTTATTGGCGTTCGATGTAGTTGCAAAATGTTCTAATTCAATATTATGTTTGATTTGTTTATACGCCTATAGGTGAGTAAATTCATGCACTTGAAAATTAAATCTAAAAATTTATTATGAACAAAATGACTGTTCAATAAATAATAATAATTAGTCATACTTCATAAATTTTCCATTAAAAATTCGAAGACGTGCTATACCTATTGTAAATATTGATATTGTTTTCTGTCATTTGTTTGTTTCACGAGTGTTTATGTCGGCGGACAAGTGGCACACTCATAGCATCGCGATGCGCTCTGCAGTGCGGCATGAAATCAATTTCAATTTCAAGATTCCGACTTGAAATTTTAAAAGTCAACAATTCTCGCTGAAGCTAGAGTTACTTTTTTTACGAAAACCAAAGGAAAATCGTGTAATGAAAATGTCAACACGAGTCTAATTCAAAAGACTCTCGCGGTAACTTTTGCGGAAGGAAAAACGAAACAAAACGCACCTGCTCGAAATTAATCATAATTCATATTTTCCAGTGTCTACAAAACTTATTGACGTGGTGTAACTATTTCTTCCTTTTTTTTTACCTCATGTTGTATCTCGATAAATAAATTATTGAATGACTACATTTGTGACGCGATAAATTTAAACTCGAGTAGGTAATTGCGCTATAAGTACCGGTGTCCCTGAACTTAATATTTTTTTTTTTTGTTCCTGCTCGTTTTCACAACACAGTGCTATTGTAAATTCGCCTTCTCAACGTAAACTTATATATTTATTAGTAATCGTCGATTTCTCTGTAAAAAAAAAACAAGTGCTTCTACATTATTTGGGAGAATATTTCGTTTGATATTTACTCAGCTGTCGATTGTCAACACAATAGAAGAATAGAATCGAAAGTAACTTTATCTCAACTGCGAATTCTGATTTATTCGCGCACGTACCCATAAAATATAAAAAACTTAGACCGGTCTCTTGAGAGCGCAATTCGGAAAGTGATATCGCTGAAGACGCTTACAAGGTTTAAAATACTTTTACATCATGAAGATTATCATCGTGCTAATGATGATAGCGTACGGTAAGTATAACAAAATATATAATCTATAAAATCCACAAATCGACATCAATTATTCACCTCGTTTTGCTGCGCGTCATCGTGCCAGGCCACTGCCAGGACATCTCCCTGCGAATCCTCGGCGGCGAGAACGCCGCGCCGAATCAGGCGCCGTGGATGGCGGCGTTGATTCGCTACGACGAGGACGTCTTTTGCGGCGGCGCCCTGATCACCCCGAGACACGTCCTGACGGCGGCCCACTGCGTCAGTCCGTACACGGCCGAGGAGATCTCGGTGCTGCTCGGCAGTCCCAGTCTGGAAGAGGACGACGATCCCGAGCTGCTGTTCCGGGCGAAGAGACTCAACTACACGTCGGATCACGTTAATTTGGAGGCGCCCGGCATGGGCATGATAACGGTACGAAAAACGAGAGATACTTTACTCTTCCTGGATTATACGCGAATGAAAAAATTTTGCTTTTTTTTTTTAAAGCTCGAGAAGGAGGTCACCCTGTCGAAAACCATCAGGACGATCCCGCTCGCCGTGACGGAAACTCCGGCCAACGTCTGGGCGACTCTGACCGGCTACGGCTACCAGCAGAGGCAGGAGAACGGCGGAAGCATCGCCCCGTACCTGCAGACGCTGCCCGTGAGGACAGTCGAGCGCGCCAGATGCGCGCAGCTGCTGCAGGGATTGGCCAAGATCGGCCCGCATTCTCTCTGCGGTTACACGAGCCCTACTCAGGGCGCCTGCTCGGTTAGTTTTATATTATTATCATTTTCTAAAATACGGGGTAAAGTGGCTAGTTATGGGCCACTTGAGAAAAATTTTCACTTTGCATTCTTATCGAAATTGTGCGTAGCATGGAAAAAAATGTCTGAAAATAGCTTCTGAAAGCAAAAAGTTAACCTTTCGAATCAATACATATAATTCACATAAAAAAGCTAACAATATTTCCCAAGAAATGATTAAAGCAAAAAAAGGGAATCAAGTAGTTATGGGCCACCCTACAGGGATACCAATGATTCTGAACTAAGGACTGGGTTTAATTTTTATTTTCGAGCACTGAACGTCTAAAAAATGAACATACGTGTTTCAAAATGTATAAGGAAACTTCTGTCATTCTTAAAAATTAAATTGAACCGTTTGAATTGTGGCCCATAACTGGATGGACAATTTTACCGAATAGCCCAGTTATGGGCCAGAGCAGAGTTATAAATCCTATAAAAAAAAGATTTAGCGGTTCATAAGTAGAGCTGTTCATTTTTTCTGAACGAATAATATTAATAGAAATAGGGAAAAAATTTTAGAGTCAAAATTTAATTTTTACTTTTATTCATTCAAATAATAGCTCACAGTGGCCCATAACTAGAGGGTGGCCCATAACTAGCCACTTTACTCTATAGATCGTTTAATTGATTGAAAATTTTCTTACTTGTGTGTTTTGTTCCAATACAGGGAGACAGCGGAAGTCCTCTCGTTTATCAAAATCGACTCATCGGCATCGCGGAGAGCGTCCATCCCAATTGCGCCGCGGGAAAGCCAGACGTTTACATGGACGTCCTGTACTATCGGTATTTCATTAAGTATTACATTGGATTCAAAAGCCCTTGAATAAAGAACGATCCGAAAATTCAAAAAATTGTTTTTGTTTCTTACTACTTTTTACTCAGTTCCACTCCCAAAACATATTATCGAATCGTTCACAATGAAGAAATTAATCGAGCGAGACAGTTGCCCATTATTTATCACCTTACCGCAGCGCGACTGATAAGAGCACAAAACTCTTAGGTTGCATTGTTTACTCATTTGACAGTTAATGTGTCGCTCACCACCGAGCTCACCGTCAAAGTGACAATCTGTCGTGCTCCCCCCTCTACATTTCCGCGTCCATATGTTTTAGTCCGTGTAAATATATCAGAATTCGTATATCGATTTTATTCAGCTCTTTGCACGATTAAAATTCAAAATGTACTTATTCGTTCGAACGTGGGCCAATAATGAGTTCGTGTATTTTTCTTTGACTCTAGAGGATTATAGGCTCGGTCGAATTTGAACCGACCAATAAGTGGATTACTACCTGCTTGGCAATGCAAGAAAGCTCGAGGACAAGGCATAAAATTGGAATTAGATTATCAAATTCCCCCTCGTACAATGTTAAACGAAAAAACACGAAGGACGGTGCGAAACGATATTTTTATTCACGAAGAAATATTTTATGTATTTATAGGTATATGAAGCTCTTCTTATCGCTCGCGAGTTTTCAATGCGCCATCTAGTAATAAATTCCAAAGTACAAATTATTTGTAGTTTGATTACAAGAACTAGATTTTTATTTGTCTTTTTTTAACTACACTAAATATTTGATCGATTCAATCAAACATTCAATCTACTATACTTCATGGCAGAAATATTTCATTTATGTTCAAGCAACGAAGAAATTCATCGAACGACACGTCCGTCGATCTGACGTCTGTCAAAATTTTCGGCTCCCCACAATTACACGTGCCAAGTTCGATTCTTATACTTTTTCCAACGCCCCGATAGCTTGACTCTCATGATTTATGCTTCCGAGAAAACGACTCCGAATCTCCGATCAAATATTATAAAATCGTAAAAAACCGTATCATCGGACGGTCACGATGACTGTCAGCGAAGATGCCGAACGCGGAGCATCGAACCGCGAACGGTTGACAGTTTTACGAGGCTAAAAAGCGCGGGCCGCGAGCTTTGTTTACATCCTGCACCGAGGCAGCGTAAAAAACACATCGATACAGGGTGGTGGTAGTCTCGATCGCGACTGCCGCTGGGAATCGCTCGTATAGCCGACGCGAACTCGGCCGTGCACTCAACTATATAATACCCTATCGCAGCCATCGACTGTTTTTCGTTCAAATTTTCAAACGCCCATATACAGTCCTGCGTAAACGCTGCGCGAGGCTAGTCGAGCGAAGATAGGGTTAATCTTTTCGCTTACCACGATACATCCTATCGTATCGTATATTAGTGCCCGTGGACGATAAAAAAACGCCGTTACAATCCCTATCGACATTTATATCATCGTATATTTCGTCGTGCCGTGCACCTGTGCTGGTGATCGACGAACTACGGCTGCAGCAGCGCGAGCGACGACGTCCGTATCGCGCATGCCGTGCGCCCAGCAGCAGCAGTGACAGGGAAAATTGTGGACTCGTGAGTGGCTGTTGTGGTGTCGCGCGACAAAACGACTAGCATAATATTATACTGCTCTGCTGCAGCTCCTATTACACGGGCGGCCGCCTACACACACACACAGACACTTTGGAAATTAGAAATTTTTCTCAATAGCGGTCCAGAGTTCTGAGTGGCACACTCGAACGGCAGATGAAGGTACACGCTTTCTCAGGCACTTTCCAATTACTTTTAATTTCCTTCCTCGTCATGTGTGCGATGCAGCGACCTAACCTATGACTCAGTGCTCCGATCGCACTATCGTGATACTTATGTGACACACACCAGGTATACTTGTGCATTATACTCAAAAAAATGTATTACAACGTCTCTCTCTCTCTCGATTTGATACGCGGGGGGGGAATGGCGACTCCGTGTGTATATACTGTGACTAAATTTTGTCGAGGTTTATCTCGATGAGGCTGTTTTAAAGGAGATCGAATAGAGATGTACCCAATGCATACGCATAAATTGCTCAAGGCATAGTCATACATGTACGCACACATGATGCACCTAGTCTAGATTATTATTGCAATTTATTTTATTTTTGAAGTTTTTATTTAGCTATCCTTGAAACTTAGAAAAAGAATTAACTCTATTTGTCAAAAGACTTCAACAATTTTTTTTTATTGTTTTTTATGAAAAAATTTCAAAATAACTTGTCATGCATTTTATAAAATATTTTTTGTTAAATTGTCCAACCGAATCTGCAGATCATGTCACAAGAAGAAGCTGTTGATTCTATGGATACAGAAGACTCAGATGAGGAGGAAATTTTTGATGGAAGACATTTACGCAAAAGTTTAAGATCTTCTTTGAGGTCACAAAATCATTCTGCTCAAGAGAGTCATTCAAATAATTTAAATATTAGGCGAAGTACTAGGAAAAAATTACAAACTTATGAAAATCTTAATTCAAGTTGGATTTTTGGTAAGAGAGTAATTTACTTTTTTCTTTTTCAATCTATAACAAATGTTTTCTTAATTATTTCAATCAACTTCTCGCTGTGCAGGAACTCAAACTTTAAAAGGCTACCCAATGTATAAAAAACAATCTTCATCTTCTGAAAAGGAGATGGCCGATGAAGATTCTTCTCATGCACCTCGGATGAAGCGAAGGTCTTCCTTAAGATCCCATGAAAATCTTTCTCCCAAAGGGTCTTCAAGACATTTAAGCAATAATCACAGCCTTAACTCCAGTCGAGAACTTAGAACTAGGTCAAGGTTACGGGGTCACTCTAATCGAGACCATTTAGAGGATGAAGACTTTCATAGAGAATTAATCGAAAGGCCTGATCGTTGTTTACGTAAACTCTCCGATCATCATGAGCATAATTTACCAGAAACAATCAATACAACAGAACGAAGTCAGAGGAGTTCCGAACCGTGTGAAAGAGAATTAAGAAATAAGTCCCAATTAAAATTAAGAAATTCAAATGGAGATAAGAACGATAAAGAGAGAGATGGTCAAAATAAGACTGATACTAAAGTTAAGGTTGAAATAAAAGACAATAAATCTGATGTTAAAACTAATGAAGAAAGAGAACTCAGGTAATGATAGTATTGATTATTTAACTAGACTAACCAAATGATCATTTCCCTTACAAAAAGCATCAAAGTTTTGCTATTGATAGTTTCTCAATAGAAACTAACAATTTTAATTTTAATTGGTTTTAATTGGTCAAAATTGTTTAAATTTCTATTTTATTTGTATACACTATTAAAAATATTATCCCAGAGTGCAGTCATTGTAAAATTTAAATTTTTAGGTCAGGCACATTGAGAACAAGAGAAGGTCCAGTAACAAGGCAAAGAAATAATGGAAAGAGTACACCTAAAGTCGAAGAAGATGATGAAGAAGATGAAGAAGAAGATGATCAAGAGAGTGATAAAGCTAAAGATGGAAACAATGAAAATTCAGAAAATGAGGGAAATGAGGTAAGCTTGAGTAAATAGACTTGCTTTATTGTATTACCAGTATAACTAAAATTTTATTACTATTTTTAGGGCTTTACTGATATGTATTCAAGAGTTAAGCGTCCTAGAAGAACTTCAACGCGAGTGAGACAAAAAAGGCAACTTGCAGGTACGTTTTTTAATTATATACTAATCAATTGAAAAATTAATGACAACAACATTTGATGAAAAAAAGAAAATTTTTATTGAATGTTAGTTTGAACAATCTTTATATGATGAAGTTATTGAAATTAATTAAAATTTTTTTTAAACTAGAAGACAGTGACATGAGTGAATCAACTGATGAACCTGGTCCTCGCAAATACAGTTTGCGTCAAAAAAAGCCAACCGTAGAAAAATTCCAAATTCGAAACGAACCTGTAAGAAGATCTATGAGGGAGAGACGATTTAGAGATATGTATAGTACAGCCGCGAGACGACGTAAACACCGTAGTAAAACGTCAAGTAGTAGTGACTCTAGTGATTCCGAGGCCCAGTGTTATAAATCTAAAAATAAAAAGAATAGGTATACATAAGTTTTCTTCTTCAACTGTAACATGTGATTAAAACTAAAATCTATCATCTTTATTTTAGACAATCATCTAATCCTCAAGGAGCTCCTTCGACTTCTGATCGAAAAGCAGATATCAGTCCTATATCAGTTGACTCGGATATCACTTTCAATGATGTTGGAGGATTAGAGTCACACGTACATTGTTTGAAAGAAATGGTAGTTTTTCCCATGGTATATTCTAACGTTTTTGAGCGTTTTCATGTAACACCCCCAAAGGGTGTTCTATTCCATGGTCCTCCAGGTACAAAACAGAAAATTTGAAACACTTTTGCAATTTCTTATCTCGCTATTTCTGTTCTATTAAAAATGATTGTAATTGACTGCGATTCACAGGCACTGGTAAAACTCTGATTGCAAGGGCATTAGCAAATGAATGCAGCAAAGGTAGTCGAAAAGTATCGTTTTTCATGCGCAAAGGAGCAGATTGTTTAACGAAATGGGTTGGCGAATCAGAACGTCAACTAAGATTATTATTTGAGCAGGCTCAACAAATGAAACCATCCATTATATTTTTCGATGAAATTGATGGTTTAGCACCTGTTAGAAGTACCAAACAAGATCAGATCCATGCCAGTATCGTATCGACACTACTTGCTCTCATGGATGGTCTGAATAATAGAGGAGAGGTATTTTTCGATTTAAGTAGATTTGACGATGAGTTTCAATTTAAATTATTAAAACACAATCTTTTATTCTTCAGGTTATAGTTATTGGTGCAACAAATAGGATCGATGCTATTGATCCCGCTTTGAGAAGACCTGGGCGTTTTGACAGAGAATTATTTTTCCCTCTTCCCTCGATGAAAGAACGATTAGAAATTTTGAAAATTCACATGAAAAAATGGGGCAACCCACCTGATGATCAATTATTGCAAGTTTTGGCAGACAAAAGCACTGGATACTGTGGTTCAGATTTAAAAGCTCTTTGCACAGAAGCTGTTATTCAAGGACTAAAAAGAACCTACCCTCAAATTTATCTAACAAATAATCGCTTGTTGTTAAATCCTACTAAAGTCGAAGTAAAGAAAGAAGATTTTGAAAAAGCTAGTTCGCTTTTGGTTCCTGCATCACATAGAGTAACTCCAGCCATTGGCCAGAAACTCTTACCTTTTATGGAACCATTATTAGAGCCAGTATTACAGGAATTGATCAGCATAGTGCAAGAAATGTTTCCTCAAGGAATGAATCCAGCTCTGGCCAAGTTAGTTTAGAGAATTATTCATTTATCTACTTAATTTGGTTAAAAAAATGTTTGTATTATACTCATCACACATTTTTTTTAGAACTAAAACGACTAAAGGTATACATCGACCCAGACTTGTTATTACTGGTGGTACCAAAGCTCGAAATCAAAGTCCACAATTAGCAAAAGCTCTTCTATATCATATGGAGCATTTAGCAATTCATAATTTGAATGTGAGTACTCTCTTTTCAGAAAGTGCAAGATCACCCGAAGAAACTTGTGTACAGGTAAATTTAAAAAAACGTTTAATTCATAGAGTTCATATGTAGCAAGATTGACATTTGCCATTTATCTTTTTATATTCAGGTTTTTAATGAAGCAACAAGAAATGTTCCGTCCGTTATTTACGTAGAAGGAATCGATCAATGGTGGCCTTTAGTTCCAGAAACAGTCAAAGCTGTATTTCTATGTCGCATTAGCTCTCTTAGCCCAACACTGCCAATTTTTATATTAACAAGTAGTGAAGTTGATTATGAAGAATTACCAGAACAAATACAACAACTATTCAGTCAACTTAGAGGAGAAGTTTACAATATCCCTGGTACAACAGAAGAACAGAGGGTCAAGTTCTTCAAACCGATTTTCACAACTATGAGTTTGCGACCGCCGGTAATAAAACTAAAAAATTTAGAAGCCCTCGAAGAACTTCCATTGGCTCCTGATCCAGAGCCGAAAAAGCTTTCACCAAAAGAACTAAAGATTTTGCACGAACAGCAAGAAGTATCTTTGCGACAATTGAGAATATTCTTGAGAGAAATCTGTGCCAAACTCGCTAGAAATAAACAGTAAGTAATTTTTTTGACCTCTATATCATTTAATTTTCGAATGCATCTTTATGTTTTATTATTTTTATTTAGGTTTTACATGTTCACGCAACCCGTTGATACAGAAGAAGCACCAGATTACAATGATATCATTTCACACCCGATGGATCTTGAAACAATGATGACTAAAATTGATCAGCATCTTTATATGTGCGCCAGAGATTTTCTCGATGACGTCGACCTTATTTGTGCAAATGCTTTGGAATACAACCCAGCTAGGTAAATATGCTGTTTTTGTAACTCATAATTTTAAAGTATCAATCGTAATAATTTTATAAACAGTTTTCTATTCTAAATTTAGAATATTTGTACTATTTTTTTGTAAAGATTAATTAATTTAACAACAATATGATCTCCTAGTATTTTTTCTTGAAGAGTTAATGTAGATAAAAAAAATAGCATCAACTTCATTTGAGTGCGTTTATTAGCTTATGCAAAATAAGGCCATTAATTAGAATTTTAATAAATCATAAATATTTTTAATTGAATCAGCTTACATAGTAGTTACTTCTTTGGATTATTCGAGAGGTATTTTTAGGTTCATAGTATTGTGCATTTGCTATTTTTTTTCATACTGTACAGGCTTTTTATGTTATTCATTAGAGGGATGAATATTCAATATTTTATTTAGCTTGATATTTTTAATAGGCTAAATGTATTATAACTGATTTTTAGTCGTTTATACATTGATTATAACTCTAGTATAAAACTAAAATTTTTCTAAATAATTTCACAGAAATCCAGCTGATAAATTAATAAGACATCGTGCGTGTTCGCTTCGCGACAATGCCTACGCATTGATCAAAGCTGAGATGGATTCAGATTTTGAAGATGCGTGCCAAGAAATTTCTAAAATTCGAAAAATGCAAAATGATTCGGAGAGTTTTTCCAAAGAATCGAATGAAAATTGTCCATCTGCAGATGCCAAAGCTGATGAATCTTCGCACAATGGTGAAAAGCATCGCGAGAGTGATGTTGGTACTACGGCCGTAAATGGTAGGACTTCGACCAGTTCACGCAAACGGCGCCTGAAGTCTTCATGGGCCCGAGGTTTTGTCAAAAAAGTACATAAGAAAAAGAAGATCACTTTCGAAGACGGCAGTTCGGGTGTCGTTGACCAAGAAGAAACGGAACAGGGTACCACCCATGAGTTCGAAACTGAAACCACCATCGTGCTGAACGGGCATATATCTGACAATAGCGAATCCGATCATGATTCAAACAATGAAAACGCACAGAAATCCGAAACAAATATTCAAAATGATCAACCGGATCAACCAAATGAACAAGAAACAACAACAAAGTCCACGTCTGAGGTTGTTCCAATTTCCACGAATATGGAAGTTGCCGATGAAGAGGAAGAATCGCAACATGAAAATGTAAATGAAAATTTGAAGGAAAATTTGAAGGAAAATTTGAAGGAAAATTTGAAGGAAAATGCTGAAAATGTAAGCTATTCCTTTGATAGCGATTATGATCAGTTGACGTTTAATATCGAAGATTCAGAGAGTGTTCTCATCGATCGAGATGAACTTGAAAATGGCTATGCCTACACAGTTAAAGCTACAGCTGATTTTCCCATTGACTTATTATGTGACGCTTATGTTCAACTAAGACGACGAGTTGCACAGTACTCCAAAGTCCATGATAGAAAAATGCTACCAAAGGTAATCATTTACTTTTAAATAAAATATTCATTCTTTGGACAATTTTTAACAAAACATTTTTATTCATTTCAGGAATTAATGGAAGATGTCAAGTCTTTTGAAAAGTACCACACTCTTGAACAGTAGTGTTTTTTTACTTTATTATTTAAGGGTGAATTCATACTCGTAAATTGCATTTTTTCATATAATATTAAGTACGGAAAATAAGATGTAACACAATCATCACCAGATTGAAATGTGTTAGAAAAAAACTATTTTAACCATTTTCGAAAAAACTAATTATTGTTGCAATCACATAATTTTCTGTGAAAATTATCAATTGCGGCACAAGTCACGTATGTGTAAAAGAACGAGGTGAAGGGGTTTTTATATTTCACATACTATTAATGTTTAAATGAACGAAGGTAATGTTACGTTGCACGTAACTATCCTAGTATTGTATTGGATTATTTTCAATATTCACTAGTTTGATGGCATTAACGAAATGTTGATATGAACAATTTTTTAAATTGAAATGAACTTGTGATTATTAATATCTGTAGAATCATTAGAGTTAAAAATTCACAGATTTCTTTAGATTTCTTAGATATTTCAAAAAGTTACGATTCAAGTTTGTTATTTAAGAATTATATTCAATATTTTAGGTTCTGGAGGAATTGCAGTACTTAATAAAATAATGAATCTCCCACTTCTATTCGATTAAACATTGAAGCGAATATGAATTTTTTTATGTGGCCGTCAAGTGTATGTTCAAATTGATGGGTACAGAATCTGGAGTCTTCATTGCTGTTCCTTCATTTCGTTCTTAGATTTTGTATACTGTTACTATTAACAATAATTTTTTAGTTCTTAACCATACGCTATTTAAAAGTAATCTAATATGTTGTACATATTTTTATATTATTTCGAATTCACATGTTTTTTGTAGTGTTTGTGTTTTCATTCGTTTTTTTTTACATTTTTGAAATAAAATCATACTTGATGATACATCGGCATATCATTGATTAATTTGAATAAAAATTATTATTTTTTTATTTTCCAAATAATAGGGTAACAAAAAAATAAATCTATATGTAGCTATATTTGAATCGAAAAAGATTAAATTTTTACTATTGATAAAAAAAATGTACCACTTTTGCGAAGCAAATAAGTTTTTCGTGCATAGAGGATTTGAGTGTCTAAGAATTATTCAGTATGTACTATTATATAGTGAATATATTAAGACAATACGTTTTTTTATATTGATATATAGATCGAGACTTCGTAATCGTAATGATGGATGACGATAATCACAATCAGTATAATTATTTATGTTATTTTTCTAAATAGGTATATAGTTTGTAAAAAATTAACAGAGTCTTGTTAAGTTTTATGTGCTGCGCGAGCACAGCGATGAATATTATTAATAATAATATATTTTTTTCCTCACTCACATTATGATTAGCTGCAAAGTAACTGCCACCACGAAACGATAAGACTTCCGCCAGTTAATTAATTATATTGCCTTGTATTCAGAAAAAAGTTCGATCGATTGTTTTGTGAAACGAATATAAAATTACTATCATGGCATCAATGAACTATCCGAGGAGATTGAAACTCGAACCAGTTTCATTACATTTACGAGCGATGAATTTATAAAAAAAAGATCGGTAGATGAGTCACGAATGCACTGCCTTATTTATTGTAATGTTTATATACGTTTGTACATTATCTTGTATGGTGTTCAATAAATGAGATTTATTAAAAATAAACTTCATCCACTTCCTTGATTTTGAAAAAAAAAACTCGAAAAAACATTCAACATTTGAATAAATGTCCAGTCATGGCGTTGTTTTGTTTTTGTTGTTGTTTTTTTTTGACAGACTAACCCCCCTCTCGTAGTAGCGTGTCTGACAAAATGTCAAGCTCGTATTATGAAATTTCTTCGTGACAACGTCTAACGGTAATCCGGCTAAAATTCTTAGTGCGAAAAACTGGGCCCAAAAATAACCAGGGGGCCATAGTATATGTTATTATATCGTTGTGCGCGAGTCGTGTGCGAAAAAGGGGGGTACGTAATTCGGGTATACGATCGGTATGGCGTAGAGAAAAAAACTTCCGCAGGTGTCAAGGAGAAAGAGACAGATGCATACGTGAATATGACTCGTCTCGCCAAGGGAAAACTCAAAAGAACTTTATAGTTCTGCACACATAGCCGCGTAAAAGAGTATATTGGGAAGAAAAAAAAAGCATGGCCGGAGTCAAGGATTTTTCTTGCATCGGCGGTCTGGAGAAGCACATCAGAATCGTCAAGGAGATGGTCCTCTTCCCGCTGATGTACGGCGACATTTACGCCAAGTTCAATCTGCGTCCGCCCCGTGGACTCTTGTTCTACGGACCACCAGGTAACGATACTCTACTCGCGTTCTTTTTCGTATCGATAATCCGTATTCAAAAAATCAGGTACCGGCAAAACCCTGGTGGCCAGCGCGCTGGCGGTCGAGTGCAGCAACTCGGAGCGCAAGGTCTCGTTCATCTCGCGCAAGGGCTCCGACTGCCTCAGCAAGTGGGTCGGCGAGAGCGAGAAGAAGCTCCAGAAGATCTTTCAGATGGCCACGCAGAGCCGGCCCTGCATCATCTTCTTCGACGAGGTCGACGGACTGGCGCCGATACGCTCGAGTCATCAGGACTTTGTGCACGCCAGCGTCGTGTCGACTCTCTTAGCCCTCATGGACGGGCTGGACAACAACTCGGAGATCATCGTGATCGGCGCGACGAATCGCCTCGACGCCATCGATCCGGCTCTGAGGCGTCCGGGTAGATTCGATCGCGAGCTCTACTTCCCGCTGCCGTGCTTCCCAGCGCGCAAGGAGATCCTCTCGATTCACGTGAAAAGCTGGAAGCAGCGGCCACCCCAGAAGTTTCTCACCTATCTGGCCTCGAAGACGGTGGGCTTCTGCGGCAGCGATCTGCAGGCGCTGTGCACCGAGGCGGTGATGTGCTGCGTGCGACGCAACTATCCGCAGATCTACGCGACCAAGTCCAGGTACCACATCAACGAGAAATCGCTCAAGGTCGAGAGGATCGACTTCGTCAAGGCCCAGCAGAACATCGTGCCGGCCTCGCATCGCATAGCCATCGCCCCGGTCAGGGTACTGCCCCCGGAGATTCGACCTCTGCTCGAGGACCGGCTGAGTCAGATCGTGGCGACGCTCTGCGCCGTCTGTCCGCCGGAAATGATCAGCGTCGCAGCCGTAGCCGCCGACGATGGGAGCACCACGACGAGATCGTCCGCCTACTCGACCAACTGTCCGCGGCTGCTGCTCTGCGGACTCGACGACTGTCACACGCGCCACCTCGGCCCGGCGGTGCTGCACACCCTCGAGCATCTGCCCTGCCACATACTCGACGTGACGACCCTCTTCGAGGAGACGGGCCGCGCCGTCGAGGAGTCCATGATACAGAAGGTCAAGGCTGCCCGTCACACCTTGCCCTCGCTGCTCTACGTGCCCGACGTGCTGTCCTGGTGGGATCTCGTCGACGAGGTGGCGCGTGTCGTCTTCGTCTCGCTCATCAAGAGCTTGGATCGTTCGGTGCATATACTCGTTCTGATGACGGCCAGGTGCAGCCGAGATAATTTACCCTTCGAGGTTTGACGATAACGACAAAAAAAAAAAAAATGAAAGGGAAGAAACTGCTATTTATTCGATCTTCCCCACACGGCACAGATCGCGGATCTGTTCACCGAGTATCAGGGCGAGACGTTCGAGGTCGAGTCGCACGGCGCCGCCGACCGGGAGAAATATTTTCACGAGCTGTTCGCGCGAGCGACGTCGGGCTCGGACAGCGCGTCCAACATTTCGTTCAACGGTAAGGAGATCGGAGCATCGCGAGTCGATACATCTTTAACGAAATTTTTTGTTTTCTTTTTTTTTTCGTACGCAGGAGAGACGCAAGATATATTCGCCACGAAGAGGTCGAAGAGGTACAACACGGAGAGTTTAGGAAGAACCAAGTCGGGTAATTGTTGCGTTCGAAATGCATCCTTGGGCCACGTTTGATCTTTTTTACATTCGCAGCGACCCTGAGCTTTCCCAGCAAGCGAGAATGCAGCTACGGAGGCGGCGGCAGCGAGAGGCCCCTGGCCAAGCGTCAGCGACTCGGCGGTGGCTTCAACAGTCTGGCCAACAGCAAGACCCATCAACAGCAGCAGCAGCTACAGCAGCCATCACCGTATCAGCTTCGAGGACAACAGATCAACAACAACAACACCAGCAGCAACAAACTGACGGACGAGCAGATTCAGGAGCTGATCAGGCGCTGCGTGAGGCTGACCGAGGGCTGGCTGTGTCTGCAGCTCGAGACGCTGTGCGCCAGCCTCGAGGCCACCATGGTCAATCATCAGGACGGCACGGAGATACACGGCCAGCTGCAGGACTGCCTGGCGAATTTCGAGAGGCAGCAGTCGTCCCGCTGCTCCGGCGATCATCTGCATCATCGTGGCCACAACAACAACAACAATAATAATCTGCATCGTCGGTTCGATTCGACAAAGTAAACGACGAGAAAAAAAATGTATATAAACGGTAATGGTTTTTGCTATACGCTATATATTTTTTTTAGGAACCTGTCGGTGATCAGCTGACGATCCCCTCCCCCCGCGGACGCGCTGCAGTTGTGTCAAAAATTGAATCGGCGGTGCTGCTTCGGCGAAGAACGAAGACGAGATCCGCGTTGTTGTACCCATAATGAAGCGTGTGTGCTTCGATTACTGTTATTCATTCGCACATTGAGAAATTTTTCACTGTGTCTCTCGGACCCGAGGAACTTCGATAGGGAAATCGTGGTGGTTCGATGATAAAATTTGAAAATAAAAAAACAAAACAAACATAAAGCTTTTTATCGAGTTTACTTTATTCTTTCAAAACGATAACTTTGCCAACGCGCGAGCTCCGGAGTGTGTACCCGAGTTGCTTCGAGCGTCGATAAGTAATGTCTGCCGAACTTGGTCGACGATCTCGAAGAGCGACTCCGAAAAGCCGCAATCGCTGTGTTCTCTGGCAGGCGATGTGTAGACAAATTTCCACTGGCACCTGCTATCGGCAGCGATTCCACGATCTCCTCTCGGCCCCAGGCCAGAGCCTAAGTGCAGCGCGGCGAATTACCTTCCTTTCGCTCGACGCGATTGGCGTCCACCTGGCCGAGCTCGAGGAACTTCCTCACCTCGTCGATTCGCATCGAATCTATCGTATATATTTTAAAGAGTTCCCGGATCTTCTTCAGCCAGTCGTCGATAAATTTGCGATACGTTGCCACCCGATGCACGACTCGCTGCCGCTCCGAGCCACGAACTCGATCAGACTTCGACCCTCGCGCTATACCTGTTTCCCGGTACGGTCGATCACGGCCTCCAGGAGAAGATCGTCGATCTCTCTCTCTCTCTCTCTCTCTCTGTAAAAATGTCACGGAGATCGGGGGAAGCGCCCGGGGCCCGTCCAGCCGGATGGAGCGAATCGCGTCGCTCCGTTTCCACCCTTCCAATCGACCTTTTCGCGCTCGCTCTTCATCACGATCCGCTTCGTCGGAATCGTCGTCGTACTCGAACATCTTATTGAAAACACGCACACACACACAAACCACTTGGAGTTTTAAATATATATTTAATTTTATTTTTTGATCGGCTAGAACTACCACTTGTCTAAACTACGTTACGAGTATTTTACTCTAAAAAACTACGCACTGACATTCTGTATCGCGCGCGTGACTTACTCATACGCGTAAAATAGTCACATTCAAAAAATGCGGGGGTATCCATCAAAGTGATATCAACTTTTATAAATTTTGTTGCCCGTTATCGATTGGACGAATCGCTGTGATTTTGTCGAGCTTCGAAGTAATTTCGATCGAGTTAATCGCGCTGGAGATATCGAACGATATTCACCCAACGACGGCATAGTAAAAATCGCGTCTCCGGGGGGATACGCAATGTATCCGTAGCAATTTTATTTATTCATAAATCTTATAGCAAAGTGCGAAAACTACGTACGTACGTACGTACTACTACTACTACTACTACGAGAAAGAGATGACAAACATATTATAAGTAAAGCTGCCGCTGTGAGTTTGCGTGTGTGTCGGGCAGGCGGCAGGCGTCGCAGGCGCGCGGCCGACGACAAGTAGTTTGGATATATACATCATGAAGAGGCGCAGCAGCAGCAGCAGCAGCAGCAGCAGCCGCATCAGGCCGCAGAGCTGTAGGTATAATACGGAGTTCAGTTATGGCTGCGGCACCGCCTCACGATCATCGTCGCGTCGCTCCGTAATAGCGGTCCTTATTACTTATATACTCGTCTCAGTACATCTGTTATAGTAAACGAATACTACCGACTCTCGTGTGTAGATATAATATAAATACGGCGGCGGTGGTGGTGGCAGCAGTAGCAGCAACAGTGAACTGTGAAGTAGTGACTACCGACCGAGGCCGAGCAGTATACACACACACACACATCTGTTTACCGCCTCGCGCGCGCCTGAGAGAGCTGAGCTTCTGCAGCTAGCTCGTTATACTATTGTGTGTATCGTGGTATACGTTTGTAACGTTATTATGCAAGTGCCTTCGAACGATTAGCGACGACGTGTGCGCGAACGAGCTGCTGCTGCTGCTGCGGTATATATCGCGAGCTCGAGTCGCGGAGTGTGCGAAGTGCGGTGCGGTGCAGTGCTCGCGGGGGAGGCCAGCCAGCAGGCCTGTATATCATCGACACACACACATACACACGCACGCAAGCATACGGGGAAGGCTCCCATCGTCATCGACGGTGTTTTCATCATCGTATATACATGCGATAATACACCTGTGAACGAGTGCGTGTGCCAGTGTGCGTTCGTGTGAATTCTTGTGGTGGCTGATTATCATTTGTATACATCTGCTGCATGTCCAACGCACGAACCAATCGTACATACGTCTGTCGATCGAGACTCGTCTTGGTGAGTATTATAGTTATTGCATATATCGTTGACAGTAATAGTATTACGAACGTGATATCTCTTGCATTTGCGCCTCGTGTGTGTGTGTGTATGTATGTGTGTGTGTGTTTATGCTCCGAATGCTGCGTCGATATACAATACAGCTGAGTTTACGCTTTACGACTTCGGCCAGTGTCGCCGTCGTCGTGTGTAATGGCATAGTTCTGTATGTACGTGTGTGAGTGTGTGTACGCACGCACGGCCTCTTCTTATCATTGACGCACACGATGCCTGTTATATATATACATATATCGATTTCGATCTCTCGGAGTTCACTCAACTTCAACTCTCCGAAATCCTTCTCGCATATTCTCTCTCTCTCTCTCTCTCTTTCTCCCGTTGTTTTTTTATTTTCATTTTTTTGCCGTTCGACCCCTTTCTCGTGTGTACGTAGCTCGTTCGATAGATGCATGTAGAAAATTACTGTTTTTCGCTCGGCCGCTTCGCGACGCACGCATAAATACACACACAAGCACACACGAGTTGAGAAAAAAAGCTCATATATATATGCCGGTGCAACGACGACTTTTATGTACGCCATAACGAAGCAGCTCGCTAAAAAAGAGTAATTTAAATCTACTCCGTGCGTGTATAATAAAAATCCGTCACGACACTCTTTAGAATTAATCTCACAGGTTGCTTCCTGCCTATATAATACGTATAAACAAACTTTTTTTTTTTTATACAAGCGTGTGTCGCGCGCGTATATAGACGTGATTTAATTTTGTTTACGCATACACGACGCAGTCGTCCCGCGCCAATGTGTGTGCTTTTAAAAAAGCCAATATACAGCCGCGTTTAATGACGTTTGTACACGTTATTACGACTCGTTTACATTATAGTAATATCTCTGCCTTTCAAGATATATAAAGAGAGAGAGAGAGAGAGGGAGGCCCGAGCCAAATTGAACGCAACGATGCGTCTAATTAGCCCACCGTGTGTGCGGCATTAAATGCCTCGTGCACACACACACACACACACACACACACACACACATACGTATCTTACTGCTTACATCTACACGCGCAACTGCGCGAAATTACTTTTCAATTGCGATTTCGGAATCGGAAGCTCTCGGCGCGCGCGAGCTTACTTCCTGCGCGCGCCGATAGATGCACATTTTGCCATGCAAGGCGAATTTCTGTATAGCGAGAAACTTGATTATACGAACAACTTGATGGATCGTCGATAAATTAACACATCTCTGGCTCTTCTTTAAAAATAAACTCGTTTTGCATTTCGTGTATAATTTTATTCACGTTTATGCATATATCTACTCGGCGGGAGATGGGCGCGCGTGCAAGAGGGCCAATATAATTGAACAATTGATCGAAGTATAAAAATAGCGCTTTGGAAGATCTTGAGAATTTAATGCGCGACGAAAACTTTTGTGCGCGCGACGACGACGTGTCGAGAGACAAAAGTGCCAACCACGCTCATTTGCAATTCCAATCTCGAGGAGTTGTGTCGTTTTTAGAAATTAATTTCTATACGATGCGAAAGATGCTTGCAACATTATTATATCTTCAACTCGTTGGTGAATTATAATTCATTTCACGATTAATTGGCACGCAATGTACCTCCATTCATTTTTTTTTTTTTTTTTTTNCATTCTTTTTTTTTTTTTTTTTTTGATCTTACAAAGTAAACGCGATGAAAAAATGCACGAGTTCATACGAGACCACTCTCGGAAATTCTCTCTCTCGCATATGGCTCGAGGGATATTTAATTTAAATGAGAGCCACCTGTCTTAATTACGAAGCTTCATTAACCGTCATTTACATAAGAGCATTCTTTCGTAATGAATTACAGAGAACGCTCGTGTGTTTCTGTTGTGGCAACGTTACAAAAATTCACTGGGCGCAATAGCAAAATTTTTTAAATAATACAAATCGTTAGATAAAATTTAAGCTGAAAATTATCTTTGCAAGCTTCTTTTTACTTTACTTTCATTGAAATAAGCCGGTAACGAATGTGTCTCGTGCATTATAGATACGGCGCGAGAGGCAATTGTTATCAGTGAGTATAAGAGAGAGAGAGAGAGAGAGAAAACTAGGAATGTCGCCCCCGCCGAATGAGAAAGTGCCAGATTACGTGCGCGGCTCGCGGGTATTATAGAAAGTTAAAAGACAATATATATGTACATACTACGTATAGGCCGAGAAAACGTGCAGAAAACGGTTCTGCCGATGATATAGGCGCAGCAGAGGCACACGCGTTTCTTGCCGCGCAAGCTCACCTCTGCCCGTCGCCCGCCTTACTCCTCTTCCCCACCCTGCCTACTTATTGTATTGATTCAACTTGCGCATGTTATTATTATAGCTATATAAATGCACCAGACGCCTCTCTGTATGTATGTATGTATGTATACGTGCTGCACACCTTCCGTGGCACTCGCTGGACGAACTTTAATGTATGTGTACGTATGTAACGTTACATTTTTGCGTGGATAATTTCGTTCGCGCGCGGCCACCCACACACGTGCGCACACACACACACACACACACACACACACACACACACACACACGTACGAGTTTGTCGCGGTGGTATCGCTCATGATTGATAGGGTTTTGAATACTGCCGTCCCGCGAGGGTATTGTATACACGTGAATTTATCTCGGTATCGTGACTGATATTTGTTGAATAACCCTCGGGTAAGTAGCGAGCTGAAATTTTCCTTTGTCGCTTGTTAACGCTGTTTGTTCAATCTCAATTGACTTCTTATTTTAATTAAAATTGTGTTTGCATATTAAATAAATGAAAATATTGGCGTTTTTCTATGATTCGAAAATTATTTAATTTGGTACTCTCTTTTACTTCGTTAATTTGAACTTCGTTAATTCGAAATTACAGCCCGTATTTGGGATTTCAAATAATCGAAGTTTTAGTGTATTTTATTTCACGAAAATTTTGTGTGTCATTAGTCGAAATAAGATGGCAATTCTACTTAGATTTTTCAGGAATGAAACCCTTGAAAGTATTGTGAACTTTTTTGCTAAGTTGCCATAGCTTTCACACCCAGGTGAAAATAGTATGTAAGATCTGACTCCAGATCTGGCATCAGATCTGGTATAAGATCTGACAAATATACACAGATCTGACATCAGATCTGATACCAGATCTTGTATTCGATAATCGACATCAGAACTCATATCAGATCTGACATCAGATCTAATGTCAGATCTGAAGTGACTGTAATGCCTTCAATTATTTAAACAATAAGTTTATTAATAATTAAAATTTTATAATAAATCTTAATAATCAAAGTTGTTGAATCAATTTAAATTCACATTATCAGAAATCTAAATATTGTAGGAATTTTTCTTAAAGGTATTATCGATGTGATTATTAAAATATAACTAAATTTGTTATAAAGTTGTAATTATTAATAAAGTTATTGTTTAATTAATTAAAGGCAATACGGTCACTTCAGATCTGACATCAGATCTGACATCAGATCTGATGTCAGATCTGATATAAGTTCTGATGTCGATTATCGAATACAAGATCTGGTATCAGATCTGGCGTACATTTATCAGATCTTATACCAGATCTGATGCCAGATCTGGAGTCAGATCTGACATACTATTTTCACCTGGGCAGAAACCAGAATTCCACAAAAAATGGTTCATTTTCCGTGCGAGAAGCGAAAAGGTATACTTAACGTGTAATTAATAGTATTCTTATTCATGTAGGTTATGAATACATCTATAAATGAAAGTAGAAATGTTTTTATACAAAATTATAAAAAAATTTATTATACGTTTGGAAAAAACAGGATTTTTATATACATTCTTTGTACATTTCATTTTCATAGTTGCCCCAAATTTATTTCAATACACTGCTTGCTATGCCGTCACTACTAATGGCATTGCGTTATGAAATTTCGGCCACTGATGTGTTTTGGTACAATTACGACGCCAAGATGAGCTATTGTTCCTGACACTTTCCATCCAATTATCAAATGAACTGAAAATATACAAAGTAAAAGTTATTGCTTTGAAATAAAAAAAAAAAAAAAAAAAAAACAACTAGCACAATAATAACTGAAATATTACCTCTTCAAGTGAGCGATCACTTTATTGTTCCAATTAATACGGTCCACAGGCACCCATTGCACGGCCCTTATCTCCTCACATGTTTTTATCTCAATCTTGAGGTTGCTTTCATCGACTCCTTCGATAATATACAATCTCGTATATCTTTTATCCTTCAAGGAGTCGATGAACACCGACCTTTTGAGATAGACTTTAATGTCTATCCCAATTTCCTCCAGCACTTCCCTCATAGCACATTCATGGGGCTTTTCGCCCTCATTTATTTTTCCTTTAGGGAAGTGCCATATATGGGATCGGTAGCTTTCTACCATCAAAACCTTGGAACGGTCATGGTTGAAAATGACCGCTCCGCAGGTTGGGACACTTTCTTTGAAAGATATCCACTCCCGGGAAAATTCATAGATTTTTTCGATTTTTTTTACCAACAATTGGTTAAAATTGTACATTTGAAATGCAAAATCATACATTTTGCATTTCAAATTTTTTTCCGGGTCCTTTGTACAATAATTATCTAAATAATCCCAATGAGCGTATTCAATAGCAGCGAATACTTCTATTGGATTTTCAAGATTTTTTATATTTAGAACATATTTCCTGAAAAAAAAAGAAATTCCATCATTAAATTTACGAATAAATAAATATATTTGAATAATATTAATTTTTTTGACTCGACGCGAACTCGACTCGTCGACGTAAGGAGGAGGTTCCCGAAGTATGTTAGTGGATACCTGGACAAAATTTCAAGACAAGTTTTGAGCAACTTATGTGCGCGGATTAAAAGTTAAGATAATAGCATTGACTATTGAAGAAGTATTGAACCAATATTTTTAATTAATAAAAGCTTATTTATATTATTTGATAAAGTTTTAGTTTTAGCGTGCGATTTTTCGTCTCGGTGCAC